TAGCGAGGTCAATCCACTTCGATACCTCAAAAAGAGACCATACCGATGGCCACACCATCTTGGTTTTCATAGCTACGATTAAAATAGTTTTATTTGGGACTGGTATTCCTTCCAAAACGTCTCTGTCTTCCATTTTGTAGAGCCGTTCAACAATAAGCTGAATTTAATGAGGACTTAAGTGATTTGGGGGGTTTTATCAAAAGGAGCGCACTACTTGTAAACTACTTACAATGAAAATAAAATATACCGACTGTCCTCATTTCTTCTCTGCCCAAGTTGGCTGGTCCCCTTTTGCACCGCACGCGAAAGCCGGCGCCTGGGTTCGTCTAAATGAATCTGCGCAGCTATTTTCGGTCGCCCCAGCAACTGGGGCGCCATTGACGTGATGCTGTACTTTACGGTACAATTGTTTGTGTGCACCTTAACAGTCAGGCTGCAGCCGAACCGGATCGATGGGTTCGGCTGATCGTTCCTAACCCATGCCCTAACGCCCAGACGGTTGGCAATTCGTCAAGTCTTCTGCTCTTCATGTACATCTACCTCTTGCCCGCCGTGCCTTCAGTCTGTCATTGCAACCATGGTCACTTTGATGGATGGGATTTGCACGTCTAGACTTCCACCTCTCATGCGTCAAATCATAAGTCGCCTTAGTTACCAACCCGCCTGCGTATCCATCCCTTAAACCCTCTTCCTTCATCGGATGCTACACTTTGCTGAGACTTACTTTCTTGTGCCATATTCCTTGGCACGCATATGCATTTTGTGGCTGCCTGTGTGCACGAATAAATGCCCATGAGGAAGTATGTTCACATCTGCGTATTTGTCCGTCAGGATCGGTGTGTGAATTGAGTGTGATTCGTGGTTGGCCTTTATACTGATGTCTTTCTTGTCGCCCCTCTGTATGAATTCCACAATCCCTGTGTCTCGTGTTCCACTCTCCCGCCTTCGCCATGTTTGCGACCGTCAGGCCACGACAATTCTGCGCGCAATCTCAGCCTCCATCAAGGCCTTGCCATTAAACGATCAATGTGATCGGAAGACCGACTGTTCTGTTCGCCCAGCCCACAGACCAGCACCGATATCGTGTGTTATGTGATCTGTTTGAGATCACTTCGCCAAAATCCTTCTCTCAGACACAGTCGACAACCCCCACATCGCCAAGTGGATGGCGCGATGTCATGTCGACTGCACCGCACCGACTAGCGGTGCAATCTGAACTCCGTTTGCCGACCTGCACGTTGCCATGAGCGCTCTCTTCTTTAAGAGAATGCTTTTCTCTTGTTCATGTGCCAGACAGCAATATTGGGCAGTTGTTCTCCGCTAACTACATGATCGAATTCTTATCGTCCTTTTCTCATCACTTTACATCATTTGGCCTTGGTGTAAAGACTTCTCTCTCTCTCTCTTTCTCTATCTTGAGGCCACACTATTATTGCGATAATATATATTTCAATTCACAAGATTTGTAGCGTTATTTTTTTACTAGGCTGATTTTAGTCAAGGTGTCTTATCAATCGAAGATGTGAAAACCAAGATGGTGTGGCCTTTTGTGTGGTCACTGTACCTTTTTGTTCTATAGAAGTTGTTTGATTTTGTTTTAGCAAATTGGTCATATTGGTAGGACGACTTAGAGGAACACAT